AGTTCACCTTTTGTTTAAGACACTTTTGTTTAAATTTTTTTTTTGACATTTATTTATTTTTGAGAGACAGAGAGACAGAGAGACAGAGCACAAGGTGGAGAGGGGCAGAGAGTGAGGGAGGCACAGAATCTAAAGCAGGTTCCAGACTCTGAGCTGTCAGCAAAGAGCTGGATGCAGGGCTCGAACCCAGGAACCATGAGATCATGACACGAGCCGAAGTCAGACACTTAACCGACTGAGCCACCCATGTGCTCCTAAGACACTTTTGTTTAAATATTATGTTTTGCTATTAGATTTTACTTTACATTTTTTCAAAATGACGCAGCATGGGGGAGGGAGACAGAGGAAAATTAAATAAAAAGATAAGGAGTACAGGCAATATGAGAATAGCATGCTATGGATTATTCGGCCCAAGCTGACCGAACAACTAGTACTCCAGATCTACTCATGGGTCTCACTAGCTGGCCTGATGATCTAGCAGAAATACTCACTGTTCAAATGCTACCCCAGCCAGAGCTCCTATGTTCCCCTTGCTTGAACCTAAACAGAGACAGAGCATGACGTCTTGCTAGAAAGGAATGAAGGGCAACACGGGAAGCATAGTCCCTACAGTACCACTGTACTTGTACCCAAAAGCTGTGTTCGTTATTTTATGATTTATTTAAAGGAGTTCTACAACCGAAAATTTTCATTCAACTGCCAAGTTCATATTCTGAGGGGGAGGGGGGAAGGGTATTCCAAAGATTTTGAGAAATTAAATACATGTGCCTATGCTACAGTACTCAACAAAGATACTCTAGTTCTGATGGTATACAAACTTTTCAGTGCATAATCCAGAATGCTCTCAGATTCCCTCAAGTAGTTTCATTCAAATGAAACAAAAAAAAACTAAAGCAGTTTTGACTTTTAAAAACAACTTTTCTTGAAACTAATTTAGATAAATTTCAAGTGAAAAAGAAGTTAAATGCTTCATTCGCAGACACACTTAAACACATTCTGATTTCCATTCCCAGTAAATCGAACTATATGATTCTGTCGATCAACTCAAGAAATGTAAGTAATGTAAAAATGTTCCTGTCAGTTATAAAAGTGAACACAACTGGTGCTATAGTATCTTTTATCAAAGATGCTGAAACACACCGTATCTAAAGGAAAATACAAGGTACTGAAGGGGTACAAGTTTTCTTCCAGTTTTCAATCTACTGGGTACATTGTATTACTTGGTACTGTGTGTATTAAACTACACAGTCATATAACCTGAGACAATATAGTGAAGGGCTCTTTATGCAGAAGCAAATACATGTTCTTCCTGCTTTCAGAATCATAAGAGTTAGCCCTCAGTTGCCCTATGTAATCTACTCCTAAGATCACAGGGTCTCTGCCATCTACCAAAAACCTTATTTCCAATAAAAGAGCAATGTGACTAGCAAAAAAAAAAAAAAAGAGGAACATACACTCCACCTCCAAAAAATTAAGAAGTGGACAAACAGGTACATTGTGCATATGAACTTGCTTAAAATATATTTTTAAAAATATTACACCAGAGTCCAGAAATGCTCTGCATCACAGGTGGTTCTCTTCTGGACACTTCTAAAGAGAAGATACTTCATGATTCTCTAGTTATCAACAGAAATGAAAATAAATTTAAATATTAAAGAAAATGAGAGTATAAATAGTCAGAAACTAGTTACTATTCCTATGAGTACCAGAGTGTCAAATGATTTTTCACTCGGATTCACTCAGGTACAAGCAAAGATTAAATCTTGCCTTTGGTTAAATTCCACATCTCCAGGTAAATTAAATGAATTTTGAAAGTGTTGATCAATCATGTCTGAACAATCCTAATGAGAGAGCTCAAGAACAGGTTCAGTATTGTATTTAGAAGACCAGAGGAGAGGCGCCTGGGTGGCTCAGTTGGTTGAGTGTCCAACTGTGGCTCAGGTCATGATCTCATGGTTTGTGGGTTCAAGTCCCACATCGGGCTCCCTGCTGTCAGTGCAGAGTCTGCTTTAGATCCTCCGTCCCCATCTCTCTCTGCCCCTCCTGTGCTTGCACTCTCTCTCTCTCTCAAAAGTAATAAAACTAAAAAAAGAAATTAAGAAAATAAAAAATAAAATAAAAATACTAGAGGAAAAAGAAAAACAGATAGGAAAATAAATGCACAGAATAAAAAGCATGCATCTAATTAATAAAAGGAAGTTAGAATAAAATTCCTTTCATTTTTGTGGACTCAACCTGACCCACACATCTACTAACACTGTCACTATATCCCATATCACACTATCTACCAGAAGTGAACAAACTTCTCATGCTCTCCCAACTAGGAACAAAAGTGTAAAAAACAAGAGGTAAAGGGAAAAGGGGACTGGGTTGAGCAGGATGAATGGTGGCTAGCAAAACAAACGGCACTGGTGTGTGGGAAGAGGAATTCTGGTGGAGCGGCTGCCATGACTACCAAAGAATTCTAACTAATAGCTAAGCTCTCTGAGCCACCCTTGACACTGTCACTAAATCACTAAGATAAAAACACAGCTCTTAACAGATTTCCTGGGAAGCCTAAAGTAAAATTAATTCCTTAGGACATTTTAAGACATTTTTGCATGTATTTTTACCTATTTTAAGAGAGTAAGACAAACTTTTATTATTATTACATGCACAATTCACATGTGTAAACACAGCATGCTTCTTATATAAGGTACTCCCTAAAATAAAATAATTATTACTTTAAATCACCATTCTAGATCTTTTCAATTCCAACCTTTTACCAGGTTGGATAACTGTATTCACACCTCCTCCATATATCACTACATACCTTAATGAGAAAGAACTTAGAAGCCACTTCATGCTAACTTTAAAAAGCCCAAATAAAAATTTATTTAAAAAACATTTTGTATAGTTAACTCTCATCAAGTAAGAAAATTACTTTGGCACAGCTAAAATTTTTCATTATTGAAGAAAACAAAGTGCCAACACATGTCACCTGCTACCTCAATTTCCTGCCACCAAGTTTCCTATTATAATAGATGGTGACCTTTTTAAAGTCTACTCTAATACCTACAACGCCTTCACACATTATGTTCTCTATTTTATTTTCAACCTCTCACTTTCCCATAGATTTTCAGATATTCAGCTTTCCCCCCTCAATTACACATCTCCCTTCTTTATAAAATTTCCTCATCCTATACTTCTGCTTCAAGCAAACTGTCCCAACAAAGTCAGCTATGATTTCTTTGTTGCTATAAATCCAATAGATAGATATTTTCAATCCTCATTTTGCTTGTTATCTCTGCAACAAAGATTTCACCATTATACTCAGAATGTACTATCTACAACCCTCATACCTTGTCTTAGCTAACTCCTATGCCCCTCTTTCAGGCCCCCCTTAGTCTTGACCTCTAAGGAGAGTTCGATCTCAATGCTTCCCCTGTAAGTTCCACTTCTGTCTCCCTAAGGCCTCATCCCACTACGCTTTCTTCAGTCCTTCGGCCTTATCCTGATTACATTATGTGTAATTCATCATTATTCAGCCAATTCCAAAGCAAAGCGCCTGGCATATAATAAACAGTAATGTATAACCATCTGAATTATGTTCACCCAATCATACATAAGTGCTCTCACTATAACTGATCACCACAAAACAAACTAAATGTGTGCTATGCTCTTCAGGACCCAGAAAGCCTTGTTAGAAATTGTCAAATACACGCAACATATCAGAGCTAACTCTCTAATCACTCAATTTAAATTTTAAAAATCTAAATAACATAATCAAAGTTTTTAATAGTGACAGTTAATCAGTGTCACAATGGATAAAAACAAAATATCACTGGAACTATCTAACTATGCATTTCCTAATCAAATAAAAAGTGTTGCTTCAGTATGCACGATCCTAAAGAAAAAAAAAATACCATAAATATTTAAATAGCATCTCTTGCAGGGAAATTGCTAGCTCCTTTCCCACATCCTGCAGAGACCTATGATGTGGGAGTATATTAAAAGAAAAAATTTAATTAAAGCTATATTAATGTTTTCATCTACCATAATCCTTTTATTTTTCAGATACTAACAATCAACATCTATGCATCATGTTCAATGACGGCCAGAATTTCCATACAGGTGAGACTGAGGGGCTGTATATTCTAGGACAGGTATGAATTTAATTTGAAACTGGGTTTGCTTGGCAAGCACACTATTTTACTTACAGTGTATGTTTATTTGTGATGGTTTTAGAGGAATGATGGAAACTACACCTGGGGATTGAGCCTCCCCAAGGGACTGCCACCAGCAATGCAAAACCTTCATTTTAAGCAGACCAAAAACCCATTAATAAAGCAGAACTAATAACAAAGGCTGCAGTGGCCATTTTAACATTATACATTTTATAAATAACTAAAGATGTAACACCTTAAATACATAATCACTTAAATATGACAAAGATGGTTATTACATAAAATTAAAACACACTTAAGTTTTCCAAAATAATTCTTATCAGGATGAGCCAAACACTTGAACCATCTGGATCTGAAAAACAAACTGTGGTAACACTCTCAATATTTATAAGCTGGGCAAAGTTAAGTAGGAAAAATTCCCAAGAGATGCAAGAGAAACGTAAACAGATACATTATTCTTCTCTACTACTCCATATACTGGAAATAATATATGTATATACACATACATATATACATATATATATATATATATATATATATATATATATATATATATATATATATATATATATATATATATATATATATATATATATAAAAGAGTTTGAATGAAGTGACAAGAAAGGCTAGGATTAAAAAGTATCTGATCTTTCCCACCTTAAGAATTATTATTTATAATTTCATCGTACTGCCCATTTATGAACAAGAATGTTAAAACAGAACATACCACTTAATGTTAATTTTCAATGTTTGTTAACATTCTATGTTACACAGCTAGCTCCTATGTTAAAAACTGGCAATAGAGTCAGCTTTAAAATTTTTACATTACCTTACCTTATGCAACTATAATGTTTAAAAGTGCTGGCGGCTTTCTGACATTCCAGGCACAACTGAATAGCTCCTGGATAGTCTTCCTCCTTAAGATAACAATAGAAGTCATTAGACAGGAACATTTTCCTAAAATGTTTCCCTTGAAAAACAACTAATCTCTGTTTACGCTCCATCCAAAAGTTAGAGAACCAGAAAATTTTAATTCCTCTTAAATAAGGATTAGAATACCAATGATAGATAAATAATAAAATATAAAAAGACAACTAGTTCCAAGCCTAACATGTATGTGTAGATAAAATATTCTCCACCCTTATATACACAGTAACAGCCTTTAAGATCATGACAGGTGGATAAAGCCTATACAGAATAACAAGATGCTTCACAGGGAAGCTGTTCTTTAACTGTTAACATATCTTCTTTCAGTAATGTTTACATAAAATGTTTCAAAACAGTATGAATTTCACTTGTAATCAACATTCAACAGTCCTACCACCAAGAAACCAATAAATATTTTAAAACAAAACTAGAAAAAAGTGAAATATTCATTAATAGCCTTGGAATGTTTTTATCACCTAAACACTAACTTAATGCCAAATAAAATTTTCTTTTTTTTTAATTATTATTATTATTTTTTAAATTATTTTTAATGTTTATTTTTGAGAGAGAGAGACACACACACAGAGCATGAGCACGGGAGGGGCAGAGAGAGAGGGAGACACAGAATCCAAAGCAGGCTCCAGGCTCTGAGCTGTCAGCACAGAGCCCAACGTAGGGCTTGAACTCTCAAACCGTGAGACTGTGACCTGAGCCAAAGTCGGACACTTAACCGACTGAGCCACCCAGGGGCCCCCCAAATGAAATTTTCACATGCATTTCTCAATTCAAAGTTTAGAAGTTATGCAGGGATTACAGATAGCTCACTCAGAAAACCGATTAATATATGAGATACCAAACATAACTCAAGTATGATATATTCCTTAAATCACTACTATATATTTGATACAAAAGATAATTTTATTGCTATTTGGGTGACTGAAGTTAACATTCCCACAATGCTACAAAGTAAACATTTTCCCAAATAAATTTTTCTAAATGAAATATGTCAATAGAAAAATGCTCTAGAGCTAGTAAATTTACATGTCTAAAAAATGTTCTTTATGCCATACAGCAATTTGAAAAAAATGTACATCTGAATGTTTTCCACTATAATTTTTTCTGTTTAATATCATCAAGATGGTGAAATTTTCAAATTTTGTTTACTTACCTCTAGCATTTCACTTAAGCGCACATCTGTTCTTTGCTGAAGAAAAACAACAATCAAAGGTTAAATCTGTTTTAACCATAAAATTAAGTTTTAATTTTTAAATAGTAACCTGTACATACCAATGTTTTTATGGTTCTCAGAGATTTCAGAAGTCCAATCAGCAACTGACGTTTCCTTTGATTTGCAAGAAGGCCTAAACTAGCTTGAGTAAAACCTTCCTTGGCAATATTCAAGTGTCTGCAAAAGTGAAGAACAGTTATACTTTTCTATAATAATAAGAATACTATTTGTACAGAACAAGTAGGCAACTGATGAGGTAGTATCCTCGATTACTCTTAAAACCAGGGATTATGACTACTATTTGACAAATTTATTCAACGGCTCAATCTAAACCAGCGCTACTCAAAGCATGGTGGGTGGACTGGTGCCAATCCTCAAATTGTTATTTATTCATCACAATAAAAGTACAGAAATTGAGAGTAAATATTAAAAAACCACTTAGAGGGGCGCCTGGGTGGCGCAGTCGGTTAAGCGTCCGACTTCAGCCAGGTCACGATCTCGCGGTCCGTGAGTTCGAGCCCCATGTCAGGCTCTGGGCTGATGGCTCGGAGCCTGGAGCCTGTTTCCGATTCTGTGTCTCCCTCTCTCTCTGCCCCTCCCCCGTTCATGCTCTGTCTCTCTCTGTCCCAAAAATAAATAAAAACGTTGAAAAAAAAAGAAAAAAAAATTTTAAAAACCACTTAGAGAAAAAACTGACATAATGATTTTATGTTTGATGAATTAATAATTAAAAAACTGAGACTATATTTTATATATTTTTGGTTATTTTGTTATTTTCTTAGAATTTTGTTTTTATTGCATTTTATAAAAATAGTCTAATAAGTTGGAAATTTAAAGAAAAAAATACTGATCCTTGTATTTTGAGAAGCACTAACCTAAGCAATATAAAAACAGTAGTATGTTAAAGCCATAACTAGACTTACAGACATTTCATTTCACACATACCTTCTCAGTGCAGTTTTTAAATCATAATATATGTTCAGTTAATGAATGGTGTTCTAAAAAACATACTCATAATAAAAAAATCAATTATCAACAATGGTTTTGCAATTTTTCTTAAAATGTTTTTCCATCTTAAAAAACAAAATACCATCAAATATAATACCTTCTCCCATTTGTGCAGATGACAGCAGCTAACTGAAGACCTGTCTGTAATGAGGTAACTCTTTCAAGTTCCTAAGGAAAATTAGGTATAGGTTATTGTTGGAGGTTTTTTTTTTTTTTAATTATTCATATGATACTCTAACAAAAACTTTAGTGGGTTTCAAAGAAAAGCTTGCTTGGGAAACAAAGTAGCAACAAAAATACCTAAACTTAAAAGTTGTTGGTATATTTTTCACAAAATAAGTTAAAATGACTACTTCCAAATGATTTTCATAATGACATATGATAAAATATTTAGTCAATATTGCTTATACGGAAATCTAGACCAAACCCATTTTACAAGCATAAACAAGTACTAATAATACATCTACTGAAACGTTTCTACCCAACAGAACTTCCGGAGATAATCAAGGATATGACAAATATGATTTCTGTTTGCTAAGATGCTATGACAATGGATGTCTTCATTTGAACAGTGCTGGATATTTCAATGGATTCTGAAGTCTCTGATTTTCAGATACAAAGATAGATTCAGCTATAAGATTCCAATTTTATTATATTTTAAAGACAGATTGTTACACTGCCATTGAGCAGTCATTATTAATGATCTATGTGTTACAAAGTACACAGAAGCAATTTTCACTGGGCCTTCTAAAGTTTGAACAAACCAAAAAGATTGCTTTAGAATCATCAATAAAACTTTCACTTCTTCAGTTTGGTAAATTCCCCAAATAAGAGAGAAAAACATACATAAAAAGGCCCTCCTACACCCCAAATAGAGTCGATATGTTGCTACAGAATAACTACAAACAAGACAATAAATTACTTCAACAGTTTCAAGTATAAGTCACTAAAGCATTTTTTAAATTTTACTATTAAAAATAACAAATATCATCCTACCTTTACATAAGCAGGCTGTTTTTCAAGGATTAAATCTGCTACTTTTTTAGAGACCTATAAAAACATGCAATCAAAGGAAGTAAAAGAAAAAGCCACATGCTTCCTATTCCACTTTACATTTTGAATTTTTGCAAGAATATTCCATAGGTCTTCCCAATAACTTCTAGCATGCTTTGGGCTATGAAATTAGTAAAAGAGGTATAACAGAGAGCACAGTACTTAATCCTTAATAGAAACTCAATAAATGGTCATTACTACTATTAATAATATCAGTATCAATTGATTTAACTAGTATGTACAAAAGTATAACATCTTTAAGGGCACAAGATTTGCTTTCAAAAGATGAACACATAAGATAAATATCTAATCAGCTGAATTTATGGAGACAGTATCTGGCAAACAGAGATCATCCTGAACCCTTCAGACCCTCTACCACATAAAAAGACAAACAGTAATTTGGTCCTCTATTTCTGAAAACTGGAAAACATGTTTTTGGATTTTTTTTTTTTTTTAATGTTATGAACATACCTAAGGTGTCCTTGGTCAATTCCATGAAAATTGTTAGTATGTTATACAAATTAGAATTATAATGATTTTGAATATGAGACTCTCATTTCACAATTTCAGGGGCACCTACTAGGCTACACTACAGGTACCATGGAGCATGGCATATCCAAGACATTTTTAGCCTTGATGCTCAGGAAACTCAATTAGTTGAGTTTCCCTTCCCCTTCCCAAGCAAACTGAGAACAAAGCATTACACATACATTCAATTATTGCATTCATCCTTCTAGATTTTAACTCCTTTGAATTTATATACATATGAATATGTATAGATGTTCCCAGACAGAAACTCACCTAATTTTACCAAATTGGTTTTTTTTTTTTTTTTTTTTTAAGTTTAAAATAGGGGCACCCGGGTGGCTCAGTTGGTAAAGCGTCCGACTTCGGCTCAGGTCATGATCTCACTGTTCATGAGTTCAAGACCCACATCAGACTCTGTGCTGACAGCTCAGAACCTGGAGCCTGCTTGGTATTCTGTGTCTGTCTCCCTCTCTCTCTGCCTCTCCCCTGCTTGCTCTCTCTCTCTCTCTGTCTTTCTCTCTCTCAAAAATAAACATTACCAAAATGTATTAAAAAATACATACATAAATAAATAGTTTAAAATAGATGATAGAGTTGTTAATCTGCACTGTGCCAGGCAGCGTACTAAGTGCATTCCCTATATTATCTCCGTTACTACTCATGACAATATATTAAAATGAATTACATGCTTCCTCATTTTCCAGATGAGTAATCTTAAATATAGTAGTAACTCACCCACAGCCCCCACAGTAAGTTACAAGGCTGGGATTCAAGCCCAGGTTGACCAAATTCCAAAGGTCATTATGCAGTATAGCCCTTGTGGTGGGATTCTTTCCCCAAAGAATACTAGCACATCCAAGTACAAGATAAACACACACATATTTAAACATGCTGAAACCAACAGAAGGCAAGAGATGCCACCATCTGCTGAAATCTAGTTCTCCAAAATCACAACACACTTTTACCACACAACCCTCTACTGGTCAAGTCCCTTTCCCAGACCACTGCTGTTACCCCGAGGGAGATCCCAGCACCCACTGAGACCACTGAGTATAACACAAAAGAAAGAGAAGTACATCTTCCTTTATTTGTCAGATGTATTATTAAAAATCACATCTTAAATTCAGATACATTTATTACTAGTGCTCCGTTACTATTAAAAAAAATTAACAAGACCACATACTAACATTAATCTTCTACAGTATAGTCTGAGTATTATTAAAAGAGCTCAGCCTAATGCAAGGAAAATCACAGAATCAAAGAATTTTACAGCATCAGAGAAAATGCAGGCCTAACGCACTGCTTCACAGAGAACATGAAATAGATTTAGCAAGGCTAGGTGACTTACCCAATGCTACACAATTAATCAGTGACTACAATTCAGACTTTCTGAATCTTAACTCTCTATTCTCTATGGGCCTCTTTCAACTAGAAGTGGGGGCCTTTATTCTGAGATAAGAAACTGTAAGTGGGGAAAAGATACTTAGCAATCTAAAAAAAAGTTCAAAATTCTTTGATTACATTTAGGATTCCAGAGAAAGAACTAGCAAATCTATATTAAGGAAATGTGAGAAGCTGAATAAATTTTAAAATAAATGTATCACTGAGTCTGAGTCATGTTAAATAATATTTGTTTAATATATTAAGTTAAACCATAAAATCTGCAAACATTACACCTCTCTGCTGTGTCTCATTTAGTCATGTCAGAAAGAAAGGTGTTTTTTACTTACTGCAGCTTGTTGTTGTTTCAATTTGTCTCTGTACTCCTCTAATTCTTGCAAATTGAGAATAGGAGGGAGCTTCTAAAAGATACCCACAAATAAAGAGTAAAAAAATAGCTTACTTTTGTTTCATTTACCTACATACCTGACTTATAAACAGTGTCACATCCCATTCCCACCCACTCCTCTTGGCCTCCCCAATCTCCCCACTGGACTTCAGACACAAAACCCTACACACCTTTGTTAGCCAACCCACTGGTGCTCAAGTTCCATCCCTCACACAGCCCTATAGGACAGGAGAACAAGAGAAAGTCCCTCATCCTAACCACCCTCTCTACCAGCCACAGGTATATCCCTATTGCCTACAACAGAATTCAAAATATATTTCCCCTCTGAAACACTATGAATAGTAACTACATGCTACAGTGTGAGAGTGATAGTTGCTGGAGTGCATTCTAGATTACACACCAGCTTTCAGAAGGTAGTATGGGAAACTAGCAAGAATACATGCCATACATGCCACTGTGTATACCAGAAACTCCAAGTTAGACTCCAAGTCTCAATCAATAGATTGATGAAACTTCAGAATGAGTGGGTGCTGACTATGTACATCCTGCGTATAAAGTAAATATGCATACTGTACTTGGTTTCATCTAAAATCAAAATTGACTATTCTTTTCTGAACTTCCTGTAAATTTAAAATGACAACAGTATAAACATTATGGCATAGAGGTCTTTATCATGGCTAAACAATTATGTAAAGATACATTCATGAGGGGCACCTGGGTGGCTTAGCTGGTTAAGCATCTGACTTTGGCTTGGTCATGATCTCATAGTTCATGAATTCAAGCCCCGCATAGGGCTCTGAACTGACAGTGTGCAGACTGCCTGGGATTCTTTCTCTCCCTCTCTCTCTGCCCCTCCCCAACTTGCTCTCTAAAAAATAAATAAATAAATAAATACATACATACATACATACATACATAAATAAAGTAAAGAAAGAAACCAACCTAAAAGAAAAAGAAACATGATTGAAAATCTTAGAGCTTTTCTAAATATATTTAGACAATATAAAATAAGATAAAGGCAGCATATCAACATATTGTAGGCTAAAAGTTAAAAACCAAAAATATAGAAACGTTTCCTGGACCAATATTCTACAGCAGCACTTAATTTTACATTTTTCTAAAATAATTTCAGTGTAAAAACAATGTGGACAGTTCATTTAATCATAATACGGTCATCAGAGACCAGTCCTGGTATTAAGACAGACAGATAGAGGAAAGAGAAAGAAAGAAAAAGAAAGAACACCCCTAAAAAGCATTCAACTCTCACCCATGAATTCAGTCACTGAACAAGACAGAGTTTAGATAGGTTTTAATGAATTTTTTTTTACCTCCAGCTCATATTTAACAATATCAAATGAGTCCGTAGAAAAATATACTTGTTCAATACTATTAATTAGTTCTTGTTCAGCTTGAGGGTCACTAGGCTGTTCTCGAAGTTCTCGGAATTCCTCCTTTAAGGAAAAAAATCACAATTAAAGTACTTGTAGCTATTATAATTCTACCTGCATGGAAATAAATAATCATCTATTTTAACAATCACAAATCTCCTGGGGGCCCATTCTGAGCAAGGAAACAAACTGACAGAAACCATGAAGGTTCATGGAAAATTAGGACTACTAAGACACTAAAAACTATTCATCTATTGGAGAAAAAAAAGGGGGGAGGGTTAGAGATTCAGATTTTATTTTCAATTCTGTGTGTGTCAACTGGTAGGTAAAAGAATTTAGAAGTTTAACAAAAGGAAAAAACAAAGTGTCTATGTAACCTGCTGTATATACATACCACATATATACATATTTTCATCATTTAACATTCTAAAATCCGTCTCAGCACAGATAACCAGCGAATGCCTCAATGACTTGTGGGGTCACCGTCAGCATTAGAACCCTGAGCAGAGCAAACATTCTTCCCCGTGCTGGCAATCTCACTGCTTGGCTAAGACATACTGGCTCCAGAAAAGACTGCAAGTTTAGCTCTGTAATCCTATGAGGCCTCCTTCAAAGGGTGCTGATACCACAGTTAATAATCTGATTATGAACCTAAAGCTCTGTATTTGATAAAATGCTTTCTTCTTAATGATATAGAACAGGGCTTCTGTGGACTTACACAACTAAAAAGAGCCTGACAGACAAATCCCTACCCCTAATGTCAGCATCCTAATCCTCTCAATTTTACTGCATCATTGGATAAACCTTCAGTTAACTGGAAGTTTCATTAATTCAGATACCCCCTCTCTGCCACACTAATTAACCAACATTATTTTTATACACATATAACAATTTCGTCCTTTGATTTTTTTATTCATATTAATCTCAAATATATTTAAGAACACAAAAGGAACTAATATTTAAAAGAATTTTACAGTCACTAAAATAACATTTCACAAAAATTCTTAATAAATCACCACTGATTAAATATGCAAAAATTATAATGTCTATCAGAGAACATTATTTTTCAGAGAAACTCTAGATTATTTTATTATAGGGCATACTTTTCATTTATAAAAAAAACCTAGCTTATATATCTTTTAGGCTTTAATTTATATTTTAAATATGTAAAGTGATTAATTATAAAATTATCTCCTCTTAGATTCAAGCTAAAAGAAAATATTAGAGCAATAAATCTGAAACTCAAGAGAAAAACTGTTTAAAATTCCAATAAATTTAAAAGAGAAGGCAAAGTCACACAAACATCAAATCTGCATAATTAAGAGTGCATGGAAAAGAAAATGCCTCTTCTGTACCAAAACTCAACTTATAAAATATACTAACCAAAAAAGGTCAAAGACACAGTCATCACTGATATAGCATGCAATCAAATACTATAAGTAAGAAACCCTGTGTCCTAACAGAAGAAGCTGCATTGGTGGGGGGGGGGGGGGGGGGGGGGGGGGGGTTCTACAACAAACACACTAATCTACATAACACCCTGGACAATGGAGCTGAGGAACAGACCTGGGTTAAAACCATACTACTTATAGAAAGGTTTCCAACTAACCTACTCATGGGCAACCTCCAAGCATTTAATAAAAATTTGAAATGAGTGAGACATGAAATAGAAAACAAGATCAGGGGCGCCTGGGTGGCTCAGTCAGTTGAGCATCCGACTTCAGCTCAGGTCATGATCTCACAGTTCTTGGGTTCGAGCCCCGTGTTGGGTTCTGTGCTGACAGCTCAGAGCCTGGAGCCTGTTTCAGATTCTGTGTCTCCCTCTCTCTCTGCCCCTCCCCGTTCACGCTCTGTCTCTGTCTCAAGAATAAATAAACATTAAAAAAAATAATAAAAAAAAAAGAAAACAAGATCAGATATTCCTGGAAATCTCCCTCCCTAAAAGTCCATAGGCATTTGAAATACCAGCTTCAGATGCTGCAAACTGAGGTAGGGAAAAAGACCCAAGTCAGGATATGGCAATATCCTCCCTAGGAATTTCCTCCCTAGGAATTTCACAGCACCACTAACAAACAAATGTAGTTGGTACCATTCAAAAAAAATTTTTTTTTAATATTATAAAAACTGCTAAGATTGAAAACATCAAGTACGAAGTCAAGCAAAAATTCAAATAGATTGCAATGAATGAATATTTTCATCTTAAATGTATAAATGCCAAGGATATCTAACTCCATGCTGAAGTTCTCTATACACTACCTAATTAATTGATCTGAAGGTAAAGACACTTAGGTTTTAGTTACAACTCTGGTATTAGCTTTGGGTAACTTAGTCTCTCCGTGCCTAATTTTTTTTTCATCTGTAAAGGACAAACATACACATACGATGACAGTGAAACAAATATCCAAAGTTATTAAGAATGTCAAAGGGAAAACACAATTTCAGTTATAAATATCTCACAAGTGTACATTCTACAAAATGTAATGAATCTGTAAAAGGAGTACAATCTGTATATGTATATAAAAGGTCAAATGCCATTCATTCTTGGAGAACTAAGCAATTATATCACAGAGAGCAGACAAACCCATAGAATTTCAAAGAACAGACACATAACACATGACACTCTAAGTAACCTAGACTAAGGACATTGGCATAAAACCGAGAAAGGCAGAAAAAGAAACCTAGCACACAAAGTAGAATTCAACCCAAGACAAATGCCCAATGCTATATCCCTATAAAATACCCTCTCCTTTCAGATAATTTAGTGGCTCCTGTGTGAAAACAATATATCCGAACTCATTCAGACAAACTCCATTGTGCCTACATCCCAATCACCTCGTTCCTTTTAATCCCAGTGCACCTGCAGGCTGCCAGACTCTGCTTCTACCTAATCATTCTCTAAATGTTTCACTACTGTTAGTGCTGCCTGCTCAATTTGATTATACACCTTTGGAGAACTGAGATTTCTCCTTATTCTCCATCATTATGCTCCACAGTGCCAAGGCACATTGTAGATAACAATCACTGATCTAACTAAAATTAATTTATCCAGTGAATTGTATGAAAAAAAAGGAGAACAAAAAGAAAGGAAAAGACAATATGTTGTTTTGACAGTCAAAACTTTCCCTAAAGTCTTAATAAAATGTCTCTTCTAACTAGAAATAATAATAAGTGTTAAATGATTTTAGGGATACTTTAAGCATATAAATTAGAAAAATAAACAGAAACAGCTAGATTGTACATTCTCAAAACAAATACTCCATAATTTTGCCATTATATAAACTGGTTTCCTAGGATTGGTGATGTACAAAAATACATACTTCTTCACCTCAAACCAATTTTGCAAGCCAACATATATGTATGAAGCAAAATTTTACATAAACAAAATGAACAGAAGATTTCCTACAAAAAAAATTAAAATGCAAAATCAAGGGAATAGAATATTAAATGAAACTTCTTATACCATATAAAAATAAGTGATTTTTTTAAAGTGACAATAATATTCGATACTTAAACTCAGTTTGAGAATATTTTGGTCTTACAGACTGCTTTTACTAATAAAATTCTTTAAAGGATTTTATTTTATCATAAATCTTACGTCACATAGTAACTAATACATATTATCATTGGAGTGGTACAAATGCTCCATAAAACTTGAAAATCCAAAAATAATTTGTCAATGACAAACCATCAATATGTGCCAGAACTTGCTTGTTAATGATAATCCACTACACTTCAAATAAAGAAAACTAAGCAAAAATACAATGGCAAGAACAGAACAAGTCTCTCTTCCATACTATCATTAAGAAATAACCTGTTAACTTTCAAAGCTCTGTTATCATACCTTTCTCCATCAAGTCACATATTTCAATTTAACATTTATTTTAATTCCCACTATACAAAAATTCTCTATACTAGGTAATAAAGAAACAAAGCTGAGTAAAAAAACTAGCAGCTAAATAACAGGAAAGGTCAGATGAATAAACAATGCCCCTGCCAGGCATTACATAAGGGAGTACAAACAAAACACAGGGGTATCAAAGGGCAGTGAGTTCACATCTGATGAAAAAGGTACCATTTAGAGAAGATAGAACAGGCAAAATTTCAAATTTGAGAAATGTGGGGAAATAAGGCAGCAAATACAAAGCAAAGCACAAGTAAAAAGTGTAGCAGGAAAGCATACAACAGGTTAAACATCAGAGAGTGGCTTCACAGGGTAGAAAAACGTCAGCGGGAGCATCTACATATATACCGAGGCAATAAAATGCAACAGTTGAGATTTTTTTAAACCCAATAATATATTTTTATATACACTAGAGCCATATTTTCCCTTTACTAAAAATAAAATACCTTAACACATATCACTGTGCCAGACACTATATCAAAAAAGTAAGCATAAATATTCAATATATTCTTAACGTAATAAACCAAGCAGGATTATTTTAGGAAAGTGGTAGAAAACAAAGAAGTTAGTCAATATTTTAGAAGCTGTCTTTTCCAGCAGTCACAATACACTGTAGGATTGCCTCTAATTCTACCTAGCCTATTTTTTTTCCATTTTGATCCATCTCTGAGATAAAGTGATAGGAACATACATATAAAATGCACATCATAAGTGTAACTATGAAAAATGAAGAAAAACAATCATAACAGAAATTTAAGTGAACATCTTTGTTTCAGCCAAGCCATTTTTCCTCTCAACATAACAACAAAAGGTTTTATGAGAACTGGGGATTCAAGTCTATGAAACAATTGGAGCCCTCAAGTGTAAGGTGTTATAAAACATTTCCAGTATATTTATGGTTTCTAAGGAAATAGGCTATAACTTTACAAAACAATTTCCCACTTAAGAGTTCATCTCTTAAGGGAATATATTCAAGTTTAGGAGAAAAAAAAGACCACAGATTTTGCATTTAACCACTACTTTTAAATTATACAAAATACCATGCAAATTAAAAATACAAAATCAAGTTCAAATTTTTCAATTCTATTCACTTTTGTAAGTGTAAAAAGTGAGTTATGACAACTTCACAGTTCTCCTTACCATTATTAAATTGAATTTTCTC